CCCCATGCTACATCAGCCTTTGCATCTTTTCGGGTGAAAAGCCAATCCTGGTGATGGCCTTCAGTTTTTGAGTTAGCATCAACTGATGACTTCCTGCACTGTCGTGATGCACGGGAAACAGGCTCTCCACTATAGCAAAAAGACAGATAGTTGATAATGAAAAGCCTGTCATTCAGGAAATGGACCAAATGAAAGAACATACAAATGACGATCAAATATGCCTTTATAGACACGAAATAGTCTCGAGAAGAATGCCATATCAGCATCGCGCTCTGTCATGTCAATTGTAGATGGACCCTCATCTATGATTTCAGTGCTGCACAAAGAGAAATTAGACAATTCATTAGATGTCATCATTAATTATAATGAGATCTCACCTTGTTTTGACCATATCCAAGATGAAGATCACATCTGGATGCTCATGGTCTTTTTTACCCGGTCGATAATCGTTGCTATTTGGTATTTCATCTCTGAACAGAGTATCTTCATCCGATACAGTACGGCCTTCTGTAAGTTTTCTAACATGATCTATTGCCCCACTGGTTCCAAAATGGACAACAATGTTGCCAAGATCATACAGTTCACCAGGGGTTAACTGCATAAACAATCATTTTTGAGAAGACAAGGGTTGAGTTGCCTGGATGTGCCATGAGACTTACCAGTCGCAGTGCGTCGAGTAACATAATGGTTTCGTTGGCTATTTGTTCATATTTTGCTTCTTTTTTTATTTCATTTATTTTCGACCTCACAAAATCCTGGTCTCCATCACTTAGGAGTCCGTTCAATGGGTCAATCATTTCATCAACCTCGATGATCTTCCAGTAAATATATCTACAATACACATGCACTTCGTGTTAGGTCAGCAACATCATTCAGAAGCAGCCAGTAGCAAATAAACATTTCTTACGAGGTGGCAATAGTTTCTAATTCGCTGAAATATATTCCTCGATACTTGGGGGTTGTTGCACTCTTATAGCCTTTGTAGGCAGCTGCAAAACGGTTACAGAGCTCGTTTCGTCTTTTTATCAGCTTGCTTAAAATTTGAGAATGCTCTCCGTCCAATTCGCACTCTGCAGATTATGTAATTAGGTGAGTCAAAGAAAAGCACGCGTTGCAAAAGGAAATTTTACCATCAGGGTGTTGCGACTCCTCAATTGCAGAAGCCAAATCGTCCGTCGTGGCAAAGGATTCCTGCTCGAAATCAATAGGTAGCTCTCCACGGTTTTCAGCGTCATTAAATGCGGACAAATTAACCCGGTTGTCAGGAGTTGAGCACTCTATTACGCGTGGCTTTTTCGGCGATTGCATGTTCAGTCCATCGATCAGATTTCTGGTTTTCTTATTGTACGCCACATCAAACACATCTAAAGCACCGATTTCGCTCTTGCGCTTTGAGGAAACCTGGAAATGTACGAGTCAAAAACAGTATCTACAAAGG